TCCCGCATATCACGCTGACGTAAGATGAAATAGCCGAGCAGGTGAGCGTGACCACTCCGTGCGTGCGCCCAAGTTGCCATACTACTGGCACCCAGTGGGAAGTGTGTTCGGAATTGTCAGGCCTTGAGTGACACACAGTAAGAGCAGGCGGTCACTGTTACCATTGATCAAGCAAATACCATGCGTGTCTATTAAGTCTGCCCACACCACAGCCTCACGCATAACACGCGAGTCGAAATTACCCGAATGGAATAGTCGGTCACTCATCAGCACAGACCGCATCCAAGAGAACAGCTAAAAGTAAAACTGATACTTCACCTCATCAGAATAACACATAGGTACTAATAAATGTTGAAAACGTACTCTCCGAGACGTAGGCGAGGCGTGGTTTATCTTGGTCTGAAGTCCCTGTTTACATAAGGTGGACATTTAGCCGATCGGATGATACAAATTCGATCCCATGTTCGCGTGGTGCAGTGGTAACGTTTCCCGTTCAGTAGAAGGCATATCCTGCACCACCCTTGTGCAACCTGCCTTGATCGGCTCGCCGAATCTTACTGAGTGCGGCAATATCAATGCCGTATGGTGCTAGTTCCATCGGGAAAAGGACAGTGCGTCGTTGGGGACGCCTAATCGTGCTCTGGTCCAGCAGTTTGCGCGTGTTCCAGCAGCCGATCTTTCGTGCTTTCCCTGAGGTTATCAATGAGCCGGGCAATCACTGTGATGATGAGCTCAGATTGGTGAGTAAAGGTTGAGTCAAATGAAATGGGGACTGATGAGGAAGGGAAAATAGAGGAAGTAAACAGCAACGAGCCAGCGGTGGCGTACTTTTGCCTATCTCTTTCTGTATCCAGCAGATAAGGCGATCATTTCTCCCACTACATGACGGCCGATATAGCATGAGGTTATTTCTAGTCATGCTTACTGTGCTTATAGTTGGACTCAATACTGCCAGGGCGTCAACACCTGAACAGGAGAACGACTCGGCTCCACAGTAAAATGTAGTCCATAAGGCATTGGGAAATGCGTCATGAGTTAGTCGACTACAGCAGATGTGTCTTGGCACTTAGCTAGAGGAAGCGCATAATGCTACTTCCACCTAGCGGCCATCAGGAGCAGGAGTCCGAGACATGAGACTATGACAGGTCCAGAGCAGCGGGCCATTTCTCTGTCAGGATCTCGCCACTATATGCCACTGTGAACCATATATATATATATATATATATATATATATATATATATATATATATATATATATATATATATATCGTAACAAGCCTAAAAACAGGCAAGGGTGCCACGAACACCCGGGAGTCACCACCAATAGAGAGTCAAGCAGTACCAAAAAGCGGATCAGTTCTTTTTAATTTTCTGCACATGCTGTATGGTTTCGTTTTTTGTCGGATATTACCCGAAATAGAAACGTCAGTAAAGCGTTGACTTCACAAATGTCTATTGCAAGCCATAATCTTTAAGGCTTGTAATCAATGAGAGTCCGCAGTACGTGGTTGTTAACCTGAGAGACGGGCTTGCTCCAATACCTTTTTCACAGAGCTTTTCTACTCCCATCCAGAAAGAACAAATAGTGTGCAGTACGTGACCGTACCACTGAACATGTGTTGGACAATAACCTCCTGAAGGCAAGGACTGTTCTCCCAAAGTACTAGCTTTTGACTTCGTATTGACTACATAAGGCTTTCACTACCTAGTAGCATGCTGGTATGCTTGTCCTAGTCCAGAAATGCAACCGCTTGGTGGCAGAAGCCGAGCAGCGAATGAGCACTAAGAGCAACACATGGGAAGAAAGTCTGAACCAGTCAAACCTAGGGACATTTAACTAAAGGCATGGTGCACAAGTTGTTACTTCAGAATCACTATCAATCAGGTCCCGATCGAGGTTGTCTTCCACATCTTTGGCAGAACGCCAGGCGAATGTTGACCGTAACTCCTAGAGTCAAAACGTGTCTGTTGCAAATAAATTCGGGCACTAACCGAAATGTGTGAATAATCAAATCCTACTAGTCTTGACGCCACCTGTATGTGAAAAGGAAAAAGTAGCCGAATAGCAATCCTCTGTATATATATATATATATATATATATATATATATATATATATATATATTCACAGCCTGTTAACAGACACGGTGCCATCAGAACCATGGCAGAAAAAATTGAAGAAGATGGGAACACTAATGCGATTAAAAAATATGGGAAACGATTTTTGGTTTTACACATGCCATTTTGTATTTTTGCTTTGTTTTGTGAGTTTTTGTGTGCAGCAAAGGGATGGTGAAATTGCAGAACAACATTGACACCACTGATGTCTGTTGCGGGCCATGACGTCTAATGTTTCCAACCACTGCGATTCAGCATCGCGTGGTCCCCAACCTGGAAGGCGGACTGGTCCGACTGGCGCCAAACTTGAGATTGCCTTCCTCATACTCCTTCTCCACGTCATCGGCTGTCCACCGCGGCACTTTTTCCAATCGCTCCCGGGGAGTGCAAATAGCGCTCGAGGTGGAAGGCCATGGGATAGCATGCGCAGAACATGCTTAATCCAAAGCATGCGATGTCGGAGAATAACGTCCTGAAGACTGGCACTATTCGCCCCAAGCACGCGGTCTCGGACCTCTGCGTTGCTTACGTGGTGTTGCCACCACACCCTAGCAATCCTCCGTAGACAGCGACTGTCAAAGACTGACAGCCGCTTCATATCTTCCGAGCATCTGCAGTTCAGTGGTCTGTTGTCGTGCCAAAGTCCCCTAGAACATCAGTCACATATACCGTGATTGCTGCAAAGTTCACTCGACAGGCCACCCCTTCAATCTCTTCTGTTACAAACACCACTAACTTGGATGGAGTGACAAACACTAAGCAATCATCACTAGGTTGCAAGTCAGGACAAACGATCTCCAACCTTAAAACTCAAGGAAAAAGGGATCTAACCAGAGTGCGCTGACTCTTATGTGCTCGAACGTATCCAAATCAGCAGCTATCACATTGGAAAGTAGATTGTCCAACCAACTAAACCAATGGTAGTCACTGTGCTTTCTAATGAAAGTAAAAGCCAAACCCACAAACTTAGTACGAATTACTCGTCACCCGAACGCTGGATACTTTGGCGAGCCCAAACTTATCAGAGTAACACTAGAATCCTCAACTAATGTGGGAAACGTTCTGCTCTCTGCAAAGGCGCTACAAGATGGATCGTGTGGGATACGTATCTACCCGGGTGTTCCATGGAACACGCAACAATGGAGAAAAAATAACTCCGAAGAGGGGCACAGCAAGCCTGATCACCCAAACACTATCTTCATCCATGGCGTGCCAGAGCTTCCTTCACACGATAATCAAGAGGCCGGAAACCACGATTTAGAACAATGGCAATTCACCCGCGAAATGCTTTCCTGGGATAATGTTGTGGCACGATCGCTCAAATGATTATATTTCTCGCCAACTTATAGTGGTTGCGGCCCGAGAATTCTAAAACTCATGGTTCAGTCCCAGCAATCAGCGATGGATAGGTTAAATAGTTGGCACAAACATAGAAAAAGCCTTCCATCGGTACTTCGGTTAAAGACTGCAGATGATTCTTAAAGTCCAGTTAGGAAATCAGCCGAAGAAGCAGACGTACCGGCGATGATTGCTGCTTTACCCTACTGACGTAGGTCTAGATAAGTGTTTGGATGCACCTTGGTCAAAGCAAAGTATCAGTATCTCATCAATATCAGAATCTCATCAACAAATGAATAACGGCCGACCTCACATTGGTCGGCAGTTCCAAACACCTGACTTCCTTTACCCACTGTGGTCTACTAGTGACCGATAAACTAACCTGCTTGTACACGGAGGTTCAGGGCCTCGTCTATAAGCTGGCCGAACTGAAAGATCGCCAAATCTCCCAGAAATATTTGCTCATCGGCATCACGGAGACGTGGTTACGCACTGAAATGACGGACGCTGGAATTTCACTACCTAGCTTGGGTGGCAACAAGAAACCTTTCCCTTCTCCTGACCATATCCATCTTCAAACTTTTAGTTCTTATTCTGTCATTCTCTTCACACTTTGGTGTTATCCTTCCTTTTAATGACTTTTATTCCCCCTTTATCTTCCATTTACTTTCTACTTTTTTCTTGCTTCACGTAACCTACACAGCGCGGACTGCTAGTGCAGGGAACGTGGGCAATAATTGGTTGATCAGGGTGTGTCTCGGGTGTTTCGTTTTAGATCTATCAAGAACTAGCACCTTATCATTTCCTGGATCAACGATTTGCTCAAGAAGGAACACTCAAGGGATTTTCCTATCGTTCCAGTCCATCTGAATCTGAATGGGACGTGCCAAATGCGGAACAGTAGGGAAGATGCAATCAGCTTTACCCAAAGCATATTGTACAGGGTACAAGGCATTAGAACCGAGTTAGCAAGGGCAAGGAAATGTGTAGCACGGGATTCATGACAACAGGTTAGGAAAAAGGATGTAAAGCCAGTGAAGCGAATGGAGGTTCGGAAGTTTCAAACAACAATAAAATCCAGTGTTTAAAGTACTGAAACAGTATGTTTTCAGCTACATTAGAGCATCACCAAAAATATTGCGATATACTTCTGCAAACAATTACCACAGGGTGAGGACTTTGGTTTTCATCAGGACATAATGGTCAACAATGCATTTAACTCTTCTTCTTTTTCTGTATCTAGTGTAAACACAAGAAGCCAATTACCACGTCGAAGTGCTGGGAGCTCTTCTCGTTTAGTGGTGCACGAAACCAGACACTGGTTAAGCGAAAGCTTATTCCGTCCGTGGGTCCTGCACTGTCCTAAGATCTGGAATATATCTTTTACAGGATAACCATCACAAAAGCAAATGTAGTGGTGTCCAGGTTTACAATCATTGTATCTTTTGACAGCCTATCATAGGCTAAACATATAATTGCACATTTTAAACCAATCATTCGTTATGTGTTTGTTCACTGAAAGTTTATTCGTTCAAGGTCAGGGACCTCCACCCGCCAAAAGCAAATTGAATATAGGTTTACGCCACCTACATGTTTCAGCTGCCGACTGTCGATTGGTTAACTTTGGCTGAATTCATTTATTTTGCACTATGTACAGTATGTGCTACCGACATTAAGTTGACTGTGGAGCCCTCAGTAAATGTTATCGCTGGTGGTCACTTTAATTTGTCCTGTTGGGTGAACTCCAAAGGCTTTCCCATAGTTTGGACCAAGGACAACAAAGAAATAGGAGAAGATTGTAAACTGTTCAACACTGATGATAGAATAACTTGTGTTAATTTGGCGAATGCATATATCCTCCGCATAAACCCCGTCACCTGGACTGACCGTGGTCAATGGGCCTGCTCCCATGGTCCTAAATGGCGGCAATTGATAACAATGCATATTATTGGTAAGTCTAAGGTTTCTAAAAGCTCGACAGATTATTGCATTTTCATTCTATACATTTTATTCTTTACCGTAGTATCAGTCAAATGAGTTATTTTTACTTATGATCAGACTCTAAAAAAAGGATAAATGTTCAACACGTAGACATGCCGTGTTGCTTGTCGAAAGCTATGTTAAACTTTAAGATATAAGTTATCAGGAGTACAAGTAACGTGTAGCTGTTTATTAGACATAACAAATAGTATCAGCGGCAGCTGAACACCGCACGTTGTTGTCACAACAGACGCAATCTCGGCAGATAGCTCACACACATCCTACCGCACTCAAGTTATTCAGCTAATGTCTACATCTTGGTGTGCGCATTTCACACGGCTTTTAATAAATAAGCAGGATGGTTGGAATGGGTGTTTACACTAGGATGTCAAACTGCAATGTAGGACATACTTTCAAAACCAAACCACTTTCATCTCCAATTTTATTAACTTCTTTTTCCCATTTGACCTTAAAGTTTCTTATTGTTACTTAAGTATTGTAGGAATGGCTTTAAAAGTATTAGTACTTTCGTTTTTGCACCTATCTATCTATGGTTTAAGTATTTGCCCGTTTCTCCTGGATCGCTTCGAGTAAAGTTAGGTTGAGTATGCTGGATGGTAGACTGTTAGTAAGTAAACTGTTCCTTGTTGATGTCTAGAAAACCGACTTCAATAGTAATTAAAAATAAACATAGACAGCGAAAACCTTTTTATTTACGTGATCGATTACCCTAAAGGTGCAATCTTTTGGCTCAACATTTAATCCTAGTTCAAGCTAGAAACATATCAAAATTTTGTCAACTTTCCTTCCTAATTGTGTGATTGCAACAGGCACTCTAAAATCAGGCTGACCTCAGAAAACACCTAAATAACCAATAGATGACTAACTGCTGCTTACAACACTAACGGTTTCTCTTCAGCCGTTTTCCGTGAAAGAACAACATGCTCGTGTTCAACCAAAGGCGAAAATGAGTATCGTTTATTAAAGTGCTGTGAAGTACCTTGGAGGTTGAAGATAGGTGTAAAACGAAGCGACTTTTCGAAAATAACTTTGACTTTATGCAGCTGACGCTTGAGTTCCTCGACATTAAACCGTCTAAAAACACAATTAACCGGGTGCGCTAAACAAGCTTACATCCTCATCCAGTTAAACTTGCTTTTATACAATCCTAAAAGATAACCTTAGGTACTGATTACTACTGCAGGTTGCGTCAAATAAAAATTATTTTGATTGATATTTTCCGTCGAAATACATGTGCCTTGCTTCACCCTAATCTTTTGAGAGTTCATTGAGTGCATTTGAATTCATTCATCAATCTACTGAATATGTCTGTTCCTAACGAGCGTGGTACCTTTTATAACTAGGGTTAGCGAATTTACCATGTGATATAGAACAGTTTTAGTCGGTTTTTCTGAGTATTGCTAAATTTTGGGGTCGAATGGATTACACTTCAGTTAACCCTGGAACAGAACACTAACTTTTCACTACTGTAAGCTACAGAGTCCGCGGAGGAACCATACGCCGTTACGATGAGGATACATTATTTAAACTATTTTATAGGCATTGACTATAAGTTAGAATAATCTCAAAGCCTACTCAAGGCGAGCTAAAGTTCCAACCACGTTCATTATATAGCATAAAGCTGTCCTTGGCAAATGATAAAGGCGGTATGGCATATACATTTTGTATCACTTACAAGTGGATAGCAAAATACTCTCTAGCCGGAGCTCAATTTGCCGTTCCAATAGACAGCAAATTAGCAAAGGCCACATTAGTTTCAGTTGAAGGTATTAGGTTGTCCTGGCAGAAAAATAACAGGAAAAATTTGTTAACCAGCGGGAAATCGTTGTGGCAGGGCAAACGTGCCCTTGGTCTAGACTAACCAAAACACTAAGCATGTTGCCATTTCTCGATTCCAAAAATGGAAAGCACCTTGCAGTTTAGCAATTCGTACCTACGTGCGCGATGAAATGGTAATTTTAGTCAGCCTGCTAAACACCTGACTGCTGCAAACCTGAAAGTTACCGGGTTAGCATATACCACACCCTCAGTAGGAACTGTCTTAACAATTCTCCGAGAAGCATGAAAAATATCTGTCACTAGTTAGCATTCTGCGATGCCTGGTTGCCGCACATTCCCATTGAGTCATCTGGTAGGGTGAACTGCAGCCAATGCAATTTCTACGGGCCATATAGCGAACGAATGCTGTAAGCTCCTACCCCTGTCTATCCTGCAAGAAGGAAACTGAAAAGGTTTATAGGAGTATAGTTATTAAACATTTGGGTAGCTGGCTAAATGTAAGGTACGTTATGGTTTAAGCTAAGGCGCACTGATCCAGTAAAAGTTGCAACTAGACAATTGTGTGCGCATAACAAAGTAATAAAAGCAATATAAATGCACAGCTACATGTACACTAACGTGTACTATAGGAAAAAACTACGAAGCTATTTTGAAATTTCAAACAGTTTTATTATTTTAGATAGTTAAAAAGCTTTTCAATCGTTTTTCTTCAGATTATAAAACGCGTCTGTAAGTGAGTGGAAGCAGGACGTAAAAAAGTAAATAGCATGTTTTCTAAAAGGTAATAGTAACGCTAACGAAATCCAAAAGCGTACAATGAGTTTTGCTTGCGTAACATATCAGTTGTTAAGGGGTTGAGTAGAAGTTACTTCGGTTGAACCTGTTGGTTCTGCTGCAGAAAAGCGACTGAGCTGGGATTGTGGTGCTGGTTGTGGTAATATAGGCTGATCTGGGGCATGTTAGTAATGAGAGTTAGCGTTAGCAAATAATGCGAGCTAGAGTGCCTAAATATTTACCGGCAGTCGATAGTTAACTTTCTTGTCTATTTTGATTACGCTATGGTACTGTCCTTACGAGGGTAGAGCAAAAACTTTTTGGATGCAAAAGACTGTTAATTTTTACAACAAAGTATGCATTACATTTTCTCCTACTACTCTCCACCGGCATTCATACACAGTTCCACGCGCTTAAGTATTTGTAGGAGCAGCTAGACAATGCCAAAGCTTGTGTCCCTTCAAGTTACTCAAGATGTGCCACTACTTCAGCTTCTAGAGACACATAGCAGATTTCACCCATTAATGCTCTTGACATTTGAGAACCCAATCAAGTCAAAATAAGCTTTATGAACCCTAATGGGTTCATTTTTAGAATTTACACAACCACTGCGGACACCTGGATGATAAAATCAATATATATGCTTGGGTAGAAGCGTGGGAAAAAATAGAATTGTTGCCCCAAAAACAGCTCGCGCAGCAGGTTTGTAACTTTTGCTGGGTCAACAAGCAAACATAAGTGGTAAAGCGAAACACTATTACTATACAATGACGTATGGGAGAATAAAATTATGAATTTCGCCCGGGTAGAAGAGACAGGGAGCGTTTTGGAAAGATAATTGTGAATTGGATGAAATCTATCAGTTAGTATCTTAGAGGCAAAATCATTGTAGGCATCAAAATGTCTAGAAATGATCAAATCAACTAATGAATCTCTAGACAAGCTGCTGCATCTAGAATGCTGCTTTATAGATCGCACCAATAAGATGTAGTCTTTCTGAAGCAGTCCATGGAAAATGAGAGTAGAGCAGTATAACCAGTGGAGGATAATGCAAGAGGTCACAAAGTTGAATATTAAAGCACGTGGTACTGAAAGCATCTTAAGTTCGAGGGCATAATGAGAAAGTTTTCTGACTTTTTGAAAGTTTTACAGACATGCGTGAACCAAGTAAGGTTCCGGTATAAAAAAGCGCCGAGATTGACGGTGGAAGAGCTGGGTATGGGATTTTCATTGAAAGAAAGTGTGCGGAAAAACCAGTGAGGGACTGCAACTTATGGCCACGGAGAAAAGAAAATATTACAGCACATTGCTTACAAAACCCTTGAAACATAGATTACCCTTGTTGACCCGTTCAGTACTCTTTTATGCATATTCTGCCCCTGTGGTGCACAATACTTGGGTAGCACTACGATGCCTCTATCTCGGTTGTTTCGTGAGCAAATCCCGGCGTGATTTTACAAAGGAGAAATGTAGTCATCAAACAGCTCGATCATATCGCATCTCGTTGACTGTAACCATACAGCTTCCGAGAATGGCTTCGAAGTCACCTACTCACTGTATGAACGCTGCTCGCAGCGACTCCGCAAGCAGCTCTTATCCATTGTCGAGCCTATCTGTATCCATGATCTGAAGCCGGAGTTATCTGTTCAAAGTGATGCATACAGACAATACTACTACCGTGACCAGCAGACACTGATACGTAGTTATCTGGTTGTTACCTTAGTTATCTACTTCGGACTGCTGGGATTGGTGTATTTATGTTACTTTGCTTCATTTGCCTCGCCGTTTATAGCTCTGTCATAGGTTATCGATTTTTAAGTTCAAACCACTTAAGATTCAATCCGCAGCCCGATTTGACCCTTTCCACACATAATCAGTGCAGTGTAAATGTTTGGGTCTGAGGAGAGCTTACCGAAAACTATGCTTAACGCTGAACAGATGTCTGATGAGATGGTGAAAATAAAAGAAAGTAAGGCGGATTCTTGCTTACATTCTTCCCGGTTGAGCGGCTGCGAAATTAACCAATCCGGTCACTAGAATTTTCTTTGACAGCATGTAATCAAGGACTCAGTGACATTTTCTAGTTGCCACTTTACTTCCGACTCAGCGCCCCCAATTGGTTATTTAAATTCAACTGGTCTACTACTACTGAATTTAGTTTTTATTCCTCCTTTAATTTTGCAGGAACTTTAATTATTATTAGCAGCATTACCTAAGGTAGCTGAGCCGACAACAGTAGGTGTCAGTTGATCCTAACATTGGAAATCGTCCTGTTTCGTCTCTTTGTAGTGACACATCTAACGGCTACGGAACTTCGAATTTACTATACTTGCTTCTACGAGTCCGGTATTAAACATGTTAGGCTGCGGAGGCTACTGACTGCCAGTATGACCTAGTAAGCCGCTGGTATGTAGCTCAGCCAATGCTCACTCCCATATAACCTTTGTAGGGAATGATCCCAGTGACGCTATTCCATCAGCAAACTGCAATGTTCTTCATCACTTGATGAGCTATATGGTGCACTACCGTGTATACTAGTATGATAAACGCTGCTTACAATACAGATGACTTTGTGTTTTCCGTTGCAAATCAGCAACTACGGTCCGATGCTTTTGCTTATTTTCCGAATTGTTCTCTCGTACCTATGACATCACACAAAATGATGACCTGCAACTTTGGAAAAATACGCAGGAGTCATTTCTTAGGCCGACATTTGGCTCTTTCCATTTTTGACGTTGTAAGCTCATTCCTAGAAACCGAAGCATCCTCCCCAACTGGACGATTGTCGGTTCACCTAATATAGACTAAATGAAACTTCTTTTATTTGTTAAACCAGGAGTTTACTGAGTTGGGCAAGTTTGCTTCTAGTTTTTATGGGTTTGACAGGGGTGCTGATGAAGATTCTGTTTTGTATCGAGTGAATATTTGCATTTGTACTTACTAATAAAACATATTGTTATGTCCTTCCGCGTTTAGTTCCAGCATTTGTACATCCTCCCTCAATACTACCTGTCAGGCTACCCGTCATACAGCCAGCAAACCGCGCAAATTCAAATGATCCAACTTCTCTTACTGCAGAGTCCCAGGATCTAGCTTTGCATGTTGTCGGAAACGGCACACGTGACGACCCAGTTGACCTTACTGGTCAACAGGTGGACGCAGCCAAAGCAGTCATCGTTCGCTGCCGTTCTTCCTGCGCGTCTGTCAAGCACTACCTGCAGTGGAAACACCGGAACTCGGTGAGTCGTTCAGTTTCGATACCTAATTCTGCTGAGCCATCTGAGACGCACAGCTTGTATACAACTCTAAAATCATCAACACAGGCTTAAACGTGGTGGGCAGCTCTTGTTTGGATGGCGCTAGATCACATCAAATGCTGCGGTTAGACTCTATCCACTATAATGGAGTCAAAGCGAATAGACCTTTTTGTCTGTTCCGTCAACTTGCTTAGAATGCCGGCTGGAAAAGTATGACTGCTTACTTGCACTCTAAACTCGTAGCCTCAGGTCCCTGACTATAGACTAATTTCTCGAAAGTTATCGAAAATACGCATCTAGAATGATACCCTGACTGAGTTGAAACTTCACACTGCACATCACAACGGACGGATGTAATGATAAATATTCCGGCACCGGAGTAATGAGTTGAGTAAAACGTAAATCGAGAAAACGGCAGTTCGGGATGTGCACTCTTACACACTGGATATGAGGCACTGAACGATGAACAATTATAACGGATAAAAAGTGACTACTTATCAAGTCCCGTAGGTTGACCGGGTTGGGGATTATAAAACCAGGTAAAAATGATAAGAAGACGGGGGAAATTCGGGTTTTAGGTGACTTATGAGGATGTTCACATGGAGATAGATGGCTTCCACAATATAGAGATGTTTCCGGAATATGCGCGTGAAACGCGTGTTTCTCACACATATTTCGGAAACATCTCCTCTTTATTCACCTGGACAACGACACAAGTCCCCTCACCAGTACTTTACGAGGAGGGTTGGTGAGCACACTGTTTGATCCCCGTTGTTTGGCAGCTAGCATGTTCCGCCCGCCTCAACTTTGCCATATCCAACTTAGCCGTAGCTTATTTGGCATTGATCATCAGTGAAAGTACATATTTCATTGAATTGTTGTAAACTTTTCGACGCAGATCGCCGCTTATATCACACTGTAAGAATGCTTTTTCCCTTATATGGCTGGATCTAGGAATAGAATTTGAGATGCGTAAGTTTCCAGCTGATGCTTAACTAACTAAGCTTCCTGAGAAACAGTTGTCTGGCTGACACTGATGCATTGTTCAACTTTGAAACGCTTGTTTTTATAATAGTGGTACCACCTGGGTCCAGCTAACACCATGCTAATATCTCTCGTTTTGACTTCTGCGAATGATTGGAGGGCACCGACTCCGAAGTGATCAAACGGCTACAAAATGCACATCTATTTTAGCAGTACTAGCGGCACTTGCAATCACTGGATATTCTCATGATTCGGAAGTCGTATTGCTCCGGGTCGCGCGGAGGTGTAAGCTGGCCTCGAAAAAATCGGAGTTGCAACTCTTGAACCACCCGGTTTTAACCCTCCTGGTTTACGTCGTATAGTGGAGATACGAATCAGGCCAACAAGGTTGTAAAGCAGGTCATTGCATGTCTTCCTGTAAATGTCCACGACCTTGATGTCAAGCTGCTTCCAAGATGGATGCCGACAAATTATCGCTCAGTCATCATATTCTGAATGGTATGACATTTCAGATGCTAGATGTACCGTGGTTTTTTCTAGTTGGCTCAGATAAATTGGCCTCTCATTGATGCACCGATAATCAAGTTTTGATGAATGAACGTAATTGATCAACTGTTACCTAGGTGTTTTCCAAACTCAACCGTCTGTTCCAAACAAACCAACTCTTTCAGACTTGGACAAGTGCATTGCGCCCGCAAGTAATGCACTTCTACCCCAGTCCGGTCGCTGAACAAATGAGAGTGGATGAGCCACCAATTATCGAGAGGTGTCCTGAAGGATTACAGTCTGTGTCGGGGCAAGTCCGGATAGCGTGTGATTCAGTGACATCCAATGCAGTAGATCTGAACAAGTTGGTTGGGCTGAACCGCATCACCTGCAGAGTCCACTACAACGAGGAACAGCGATTTGTGGATGACTTGTTGGTTGACCATTCACCGGCGCTGCCAAGTTCACCTGTTGGGCGGTCACCAGCGTGGGGAGAGAATCCGGTGGAAGAGTGCTCCCCGATCGGTCAACAGCAATTCACCTGTATCTATCTTCTATGCGCAGGTGGGTTTCCGCCGCAGTGACATCGCTTAACAGTAAGTCTGTTTTGAAGTTAGAACAATCCGGAACGGTAAAACAATGGCCCAAATATGGGCAAATCAACCAATCAAGGAAAAGGTGTTTCCTGTGTTCAGACAACAGTGACACACAGTCCAAGATATGCTCGTGATATATGAAAAGATTAATAAGTCCAGCACTCACTACATGAAGTTGTATTAGCACGAGAAATCCACGTTTGAGAAATTGGGAGCCATCACTAATGCGAACTAATCGATCACTGCTAAAACCACGCTGCAGTAAAACGTGAATTATCATGTTACCTTATTTCACGAATGTTACTAATCCTGCTGCATTGATAGTTGAAAACACGTTGGGAATGGAATCACCAAAGTTGTTGCACAAATCGTTCAATATGATGTACAACTGGAGGTGTCTAATAGTGGCGACAATAGTTCATCACGGTACACTCTCAGTTAGCAGGCTGTTAGTCTGGAAAACCACCAAACACCGGTGTTTCGACCTTTTGAGTCTCGCCAAAGGTGCGCCTTCCAGCGTACCCCTACCGGGTTCCGTACTCATGACTTCCGGATGCCAGCAGCTATTGTCACTTCATCATGGGTGACAGCCGCGGACCTGCAGGTTTGACATTTGACTATATAGCCCGGCTCATCTTCTACTGCCGCATATATATATGTATATATATATATATATATATATATATATATATATATATATATATATATATATAGTGCCCCATGCTGAGGCTGATGTTGCATTCTTGATGCTTCTTCACCGCAGTTGGGCTAAATCAACTTACACTTAAACTAGATCTTTTTAAGCTGGATAAATTTCATTCCGCTTTATTTGATTTGTTCTGCCTCCCTGAATAATGTTCTATTAACTGGCCACGTTGCTTACACTAATTGCGCTTATCTTCGGTAATTTTGTTGCGTTTGTATCATTTGAAGTAACTTGTGGACATTTCTTACTTATCACGGATTTGTTGCTAACTAAATTACTTCATATGATAATTTAGCGAAGAGTTATGCCACCGTATCTGTATGCATTATTGGATTTATTTTATTTCAGCTTGTCGTTTAAAGTGAATGGCTGTTGTTTGATATCCCTGGTATGGTTGTGCTTGATGTGTATGTTGACAAGGTGCCTACCTGTCTATTACCCACTACATCGTTCATACTGGCTCCAGGAGACAGTTGGTCGTTGCTGGAGGGGACGGGGTGCACGGTTCTTGTGGCCGTGCTAGGCTCAAAGAGCGGTTCCATGCACTCAGTGTGGAGCGGACTACGGTCCAGCCACCGCCTTGTGTGCGGTCGATTCCCCAAATACAGCGTGCTTGTGTTTGCCTGTGAAGGAGTGTGGGCCGGCTCCGTTGATGAAACGTGGTTCCCATCCGCATGCCTCCCGGTCTTATTCCTTCGGGTTCACACTGGATATGGGGTATGTGGTTGGAGCTGTGGGTGGTGCAGCGCAAGCCATCCATGGTCCCTCTGTAGGCACAGGCGTCCTGTGGCTTGCCACAGTGACAGGCAAATCCGAAACCGGATGCCGCCAACTATATATATATATATATATATATATATATATATATATATATATAATCAGCAGTCTGTAAGCTAGACATAGAGCCAGCGAAAACCATGAAACGGAAGTAATAAATATAGAGACCATAACGAAAAGAAGGAAAGTTGCAAAGTGCTTTTGTATCTTTTCTTTATTTATTTTCTTTTCACCCGCAGTTTTAACTTTTTTGTTTTATGTTTGCGTTAGAAATCAAGCAAATCAAGACAAACATGTGTGCACATTTTCCACTGGGCCCAGTTCTGTGTCATTTCCAAAAATGTTTCCAGCCAGCGGTGATCTTCATCTTTGATCCCCCAGCTCGGAAGACGCACGGGACCTACGACAGCCACACTGAAAGTCAGCGCTTTAACCGTTTGTCGCCACGTGATAGGCTTACTCACGCGCGATTTCTCCCAGCCTGGTCCTGTACGAGCGAAGAGAGCGCGTCGGGACAGCCGTTCGCATGACATGCGTAAAATTTGGTCCAGCCATCTCATCTAGCGCAGCGGTACCAGTCTGTTACGTGGAAGTCCCGTGTTACCCAACACGCGACGTCTAACATCATCGTTGCGCACGTGATTCACCCACTACACTCGAGCTATTCTCCGCAAACATCCATTGTCAAAAGCCGAAATCCGACGCAAGTCATTCATACGAATCGGCCAGGACTGACTGCCATACAGCAGCACTGCTCGAACACAGGAATTGTAGACCCTTCCCCTTGCCAATGGTGAAACGTCACGGCGCCGTCACAGATGCCTCAAGTTGGCGAATGTCAAACGGGTTTTGGCATTGCGGTGGGAAATCTCTTTTCCAATGTCACTATCAGCAGAGACACAGCTTCCCAGGTAAAGAAAGTTGTCCACTTGTTCAAGCTGCGTATATTGTAGAGTGAGCACTGGAGCAGCTGGATGCTAACCCAGGACCAGGGCTTTGCATTTCGTAGGGGCAAAGGTCGTTCCATACTTTGATGCTTCAATCGCCAAGCGGTTTAGAATGGCTTGTGTACTCTGTGCTTCAGCACCAAGCAAGGCAATATCATTTGAAAGCCAGATTCGTGAGGAGCAAGCCGGGTTTCGTCGACGCCGAGGCTGCATCGACCACATCTTCACCTTGCGTCAGTTTTTGGAGCATCGTCACACAGATTGGCGGCCCACCGTAGTCGTGTTCCGCCACATCAAAGGTGTCTTCGATTCGGTTGATCGATTTGCCCTTTGGAATTGTCTATTCAGGAAAGGTGTGCCCGAGAAATATGTAAATATTATTCAAGCATTATACGCGCTTAGCACGGGCAGAGTGAGGGGTTACGGCAAGCTCTCGCTGCCCTTCAATATATCCAGCGGTGTGAGACAAGGATGCCCGCTGTCACCATTCCTCTTCAACTTCGCTATTGACGAAGCCATGGAGATAGCATTTACAGGACACAACTTGGAAGGTGTGGAGCTACTTCCAGGATAACGACTTCTTGACTTAGAGTATACAGACGACATTGCCTTCCTCTGTGACAGCTCCCAGCTCCCAACCCGCGCTGGACAAATTAGCACTGGCTGTCAGCCGCTTCGGGCTTTGCTTTGCACCATCGAAATGCAAAGCTTTCCTCCAAGATTGACAGGGATCGCCTCCTGCGCTGACCCTTGGTGGGGATCAGCTAGAAGTCGTTCAGAAATTCAACTACCTGGGAAGTTGTGTCAGCGCCCTTGGGATCGAAGACGATATCACGAACCTTGTAGCAAAAGCTCGAAGTGCTTTTGCTAACCTTCACCACCTATGGCGGCGGCGCGACATCACTCTCGCCCTGAAGGGTAGAGTGTACAATGCAGCGGTTGGTTCGACCCTACTGTACGGTTGCGAAACCTGGCCCCTAAGATCGGTGGACATGAAGAGGCTAGTTACGTTCGACTACCGGTGCCTTCGCAGTTTGGCTCACATCTGGTGGGAACACCGTGTGAGTAACGAGCGTGTTCGATGCCATGTTTACGGCACAAAACAAGGAACTGAACCGCTCAGCACCGTCATTTCATGCACTTGTTGCGCATGCCAGCCCACCGAATTCCACGACGTGCGTTGTTTGCTCACCGGGGATGTGGATGGAAGAAGAGGAGAGGTGGCCAAGCGATGACTTGGTCCAGAGGAATGGAGGCCCTCACTTCGGAGCTGGCCTCGGTTGGAGCGTCACGGCTCCCTGGTTGGGGTCCGAAAAGACGGTGAACACGTTTGGCTGGATACACTTGCTGACATGGCAAACAGCCGACCTCAGTGGCGTTCCTGCTGTGAGTTTCTTTGTCCCTCCCCATCCCTTTTAGCCTCCCCCTCCACCTGCGATCTCATTTCGTAGCGTAAAACATAATAATAATTTTTCTTTTTGCCTAGTAGTCGGCTGGTAGCTTATCGGAACGATGCCTATCCGTTGCTGGTAGCTCAGCTGGCATGCAACTGTTGTATTTATTTTCATTTCCCTTTATGTGTTGCGGCACAGTAGCTGAGGTGTTTCCCACCTCTAGCTGACGTGTAGAATGATGATGATGATGATGCTGATGAAGACAATCTCACCAAGCATAGTCTAAATCGGTCACGCGGTTGTCAGGAACAAGCTCTACACCAAAACCCTGAAAGTCCTCGAGAGCATTGGAAAGGACATCCTCGATCGCAAAATGGAAGAGAAACGGGAACATGGGGCAACCCCGTTGTACACCACTAGTGACGGCGAAAGGGGAAGAGAGCTTACCATAAGACCTCATTTTACCTGAGGCATTGCAACCTAATGTTTGAAGGATAGCGATATATTTCTCGGGTACTCCATTCCTTTGTAAGCAACGCCGTAAAGCTGGCCGGTCGACGGAGTCGAAAGCGGTTCGGATGTCCAGAAAAACAACGATAATGGGTTGGCGGTAAAGATGACACGTTTTAAGGAGTTGACGGAGCGTAAACAAGTGGTCTATACGCCCACAACCGGGGCGGAAACCAGCATGTTCTTCACAGGAGCGCAATTCTCGAATCAGGGTTAATCTGCGGAGTAGAATGGATGTAAACAGCTTGGAGGCAACAGACATTAGACGGACTTCTCCGTGTTTAGCGCATAGGGTACGGGAAACTTTCTTAAAGATCGGGACGCTAATTGACTCGCTCCAAGTGGGTGGAACTGTTTCTTCCCACCAGATCTCAGAGAACAGAGCTGTTAGCCGGTTAACACTTATTTCTCCCCGGAACTTGTACAGCTCAGTAGGAAGTCCGTTTGGGCCAGCATACTTGAATCGCTTCAAATGTCGGAGCTCAAGGCAGACCTCAGCTTCAGTGCGTAGTTCCAATGAGATGTTCCAAGGAGCGCAACTAGGTATACTCAACAGACTCGCCGGCGGAGGAGACGAGTTGAATTGAGTGCGAAAGTGTTCAGTCCAACGGTCCATAGGCCTGTGTAAGTTGCT